GTCTCACGGTGAGATTTGACCATACCCTCTTAGTCGCTCGGTTCAAGTTTGGTTGCCTTCCTCACCTCGCCCTTCCACTTTCCTACTGCCGGTGGGATCCCTTCCACTAAGTGACGCTATCTCTCAGAGAACAAGGGACTACATGAGAGACACGGTAATACATCAGTTCGGTCTACAGTCGGGTTTGCACTGGGGCCTTTGGCCCTACCTCCACTTTCTACTTCAGTCATATCGGCTCGCACCCTACTGCCTCCCCTTCTTGGCTGGTACCCTACTACCTCCCCCCTCTGCTACGTGGTGTTCCGGGGTTTCGGCCTGCTGCCTGCCCGTAGTCGATTTTTGGCTGGCATCCTACTGCTGGGCGGCATCCCCTCTGCCTAACATCCACTCCTTGGGCCTAGCACTGTAGCCTCTGTTCTCGATTAGTGGGCCATGGTATTGCACTACTTCTGTGGCTTAGCCGGTTGGGGGCGCTCGGCCTTAGGGCTCGTCGCTGGCCGCTCACTTCGGGGGCGGTTCTTTAGAAATGGCAAATCTGGTGGTACGGTGAGCAGTTGTTATTTTTTATTTTTTATTTTTTTTGTGGCCCTTATGGGTCTAGTAGTTTACAGGATAGAGTTTTTCCTTATGCTTTCCTGCCTAGCTTGTTTGGTTTCCTTCCTGTTGGCTACGTGTAGTTAGTGGGTGGGGTTTTCTTTCGGGCGAGGAATCTTCTTTGGCTTTTTGTTGGCTTCTAGGCGAGACCCTTTCGCGTTCAAGTCGTGAGGCCTGCAGGCTGGGCACCTGAGTTGATCGCCCTTGGGGTGTGTGCAGTTGGGTGCATACCAGAGGGTCTTGGGGGTACGGGTTTTCTCTAGGTCCGGGGTGGAGGGGTTTTCTTAATGCCATAGCTAGCGCTGCATGCGATGTTCTTGTACCTTAAACAAGTAACTAAATGATTATAAAAAAAAAAAAAAAAAAAAAAAAGATATGACAAAATTCTAAGTCTTTAGGTGTATTCAAGTCAACTGTTCAGTCTGTGGTCTAAAGAGCTAAATCTAGGGGTAGAAACACTTACCATGTAAAAAGAGGTGGAAGACCAACCAAGATTACTGACATAAAAAAAAAAATAGTGGAGTTAGTTATTGATGCTGAGCCTCATTTAGCGTTACGCGACATTACCAAAAAAGCGAATATTAGTCTTGGTAAAACCACTATTGATAAGATCATATCAGAAGCTGGTTTTAAGATTCTGATACCTAGGAAAAAGCCTTTTTGGAGAAAAAGATAAAAGGAGAAAAGAAGGGAGTTTGCTAGGAGAAGGAGGAACTGGAAAGGGGCATGGAATTGGGTTGTTTTTGTGGATGAAGCTACCATTGTTTATGATCCAAATCCAACAGGCAGAAAGGTCAGAGTTAGACCTGGTGAAGAGCTGGAAGAAAAAAACTTAAAGCCTAGCTTTAAGTCTGGAAGACCTAGCATCGGAGTATATGCTGCAATGATGAAGGGAGAAAAGACTGAGTTAATTCTTGTGAGAAAGAGGAGAGAGGAGGAAAGAACTGGCAAAAGAGACAGACTTGGCATAAACTCTCATCAATATTCAACTGAGATCCACCAGCCTTACCTTATTCTTTTTAAAGAGGATCTGGAAAGACCTTCTGACAATATCTACCTTACTGCAGACAATGCTTCCTGGTATGGTGGTGAGGAAAATCGAAAATTGGAAGCAGACTGTTTTAAAAAACAAGGATTATGGCAGTGATTTGGACTATATTGACTTAGGCAGGGCAAAGATGTAAAGATGAATTTCAATATCCTAACTGGAGAAATATTTTCACAAAGAACAACGATAGGGAATAAAATAAAATGGGAAAGACTGCTATGACCCAAATGCGAGTAACAGAGGAAAGAGAGACAGATTGGATAATAAACGAAAACAACTAACAAGGGAAAACAAGCTGCCTTTTATCCTCCCCAAGATCATACTGATCTGCTTCTACATACTTCCAGCGTATGCTGTGTTCTCTATTACATTCTGTTAGGAATACCAGAAACCGATACCTAGGAACCACCCTAAGTAGGGTAACCCCACTCGGAATCGGAATCTCTGGTCTCCAACACCCTCCTCCAGCTCCCTTACGGAGCCCGCGCGTCATCATATATATTAATCTCAGTTGCGTCCTGTGACTATATTTCCACAAAGTTGAAGGTGTTAGAATACCACCATATACGTCATCGCCGTCTGTCTGACCGGATCCTGTTCGCAGGATATATGAGAGGGGACCTTTGGCTAGGCCTGGGAAGTGGAACAGAGTAATTCCGTCAACTACTCAGAGAGTTACATGGCTTCAAAGACATGACACCTTTGGCATAGGCCATAAGTAACGGGACGATTTCGCACAAAAGAGATGGTATCAAATGGTAAAGGATCTCTACTAGAGACCAATACATTTACATCTACCAGAAGAGTCTAGAACTCCAAAAGACACTACTAAAGAAGCCAACGAACTTCACAGAATATTGCAACTGGGTTTCGGAATATGTCGTAGCCATGGGGTGATTCTCAATACTACAATGGTTACTGAAACCTACTACCCAGAGAGCAACCAAGGGTTGTCAACCGAGGGATTAATTACCAGCCCAGTGGAGTGGCTTCCTGCGAGTTAATAGGAAGTTATCCAAAGAAAATCTATCAGTTGGGTATGGAGTTACAAAGGATTGGAGTCAGACGACCTACGATGGTTGTAATGACGATCACCTTTGCTGATATAGCTGTGGATAAAACTGATCATTTTATCAATGGCGAAGACAATTGGAGCCAACTCAGTTTGACTTAAGAACTAGGCCATAAGTCTAAAGACTCTGCTAATCGGGATATTACTATTAGGGATAGCACGCTTCCTAAGAAGAAATATCGTAATTACCGAAGAGGGTGTGATGGTTTTCTGGGTCTACAGGTGTTTGCACCTTGGAAGAAAACTTGACGTCGCAAATTACGATTGAAGAAGTACATAGTTGTATGATAAATAGATGTAGTCTGTGAACACTCAGATGCGGAATATAAATATCGAAGTGCCTTCCAAGCTTTAGACATCATCAAGCAACGGAGAAGAGACCTTAACAATATAATATTGTTTTTATGATTCTACCCTACTTTACCTATTTTACTTCGCTCCTAGTAGTCATAAATGAAACGAGTAAAGTTTGAGCCTTCCTAGACAATCTCCGTCTACAAAAATGAATCTCGATTGGCCTAGACAACCTTGAAGTCTATCAAGTTGTCTCCGCCTAACACATTCAGTATCACTATTGCCCATTGTGCCGCTTCGGCTGAGGATAAGTGAATTCGACCGAGGGTATACTCTGGCCAAGGACATTCAGTATTTTTATATGATAGGGGTAACGCCCTAATATGGAGTCATCATAGGTATTGTCGCAGATGTTGTCACATATGGTGTTTGATGTGGAGGGCTAACCAGTAGTCAAACATTGAGGCGTCGGAGTAGTTGATACCAAAAGGATTAGGGTTGTGTGGTCATTGCCATAAGGGAAATGTGCGGTGAGCAGCCAAGAAACACTTCTGTCCAACAGACTGTGGTTACAAAAAACTTCCTTGGCCACCCAACTCACCAGATCTCAATCCTATTGAGAACACATGGGCACTACTCAAAAGAGCCCTTATCAAGTGATTCTCCAGACTGGAAAGAAGGCCTCATAGTGCAGCTGAATTGTTTGAGGGAGCAAAGGAAGAGTGGGATTTAATTCCCCAAGTGAAGTTGGATGGATAGATAGATAGGATGCCTGAGAGAATGCAAGCTGTACTGGATGCAAATGGAGGCCATACAAAATGGTAATAATGTTTTTTTATTGTCTACTAGCAATACTATCATGTTTTCTTTAATTGAATTCTTTACATTTTTTTTGAAACTTTTATGGTTGGGGGTTGTGGTTGTGCAGTTACCATGCGAGGGTATGAAAACTTTCCAGACACGACTGTACAGTACAGGCTCATATTATCATACATAATATTATTTCTCAACAACAGGCTATTATCTGAGAGAATGTGACTGTTAATATAAGGGTTGTGGTGCAATCAGGTTTCACAATTGAACAAAGATATTATTACGGGTATATTTATTTCTTAGCATCTATTATATTTTAGCCACATACCGAACAAGCCCTTGTATTAATTAACTTAATATAAAATAACATAAAAAGGTATAAAAATTCTGTCGAACAGTTGACTCATCCGTCAAAGTCTATGAAATAGCTATCATTTCAGCAGTTTCTAGGCCAATCTATGATACCGTACTGTGCGCTAATTTCTGGTGAAGGGAAAAAATATCTGTCGAACTCATACGCACTAACTTAGTGGCTATGGAGGGTCCCGTTCTCTGGGAGCCAAGAGGATACTGAACCAACTAGAAGGGTTCGACGGGTTTACCCTTGATATGTACCGTACCCTGCGCCATACAATGTATGAGAGAACAACGCATACAGTGAAAACTCGAAGTATCGAGAGGTGTACTGCATTGCACAGAGTTCCCTACTCTGGAAAAGGGTCAAAAAAAACACGGCAAAAAAAAGGAGCTGCTTAGCCCCTCGGAGAGACGAAAAAAAAAAACAAGAAACACTAGAACATATGCGCTAGAGGGGCAACTCCAACGACATAGCACGCAGCTCGATCATTCAAGTTTTTACGGTACCAACACCCAGGTCACGACAGACCAGACTGAAATGAAACTCGTAACTTTAGTCTTATGATACTACGGTATGCTAGCAAAATCTGCCCTATTTCAAACTCCAAATGGACTCCACGATTACATCACCAATACCCCCCCCTCTTCTCACCCTCAAATACAAATCGATATCCAAAAAGGACAGGAATAGGTAGGAAATAAAAGGAAAATGAAAACAAAACGAAAAGACTAAAAAAAAAGCGCAGTAAGAATACACAATCGAAGGGGGATACTCTTTATATGGGGGCAAGGGTTATAGGGGGAATGAATCAACGTAAGGAATCAAGATTTATTCCAAAATCTAAACCACTTCTTCTTCTTATTGGCCTCGTATCCTTCCTCGGCTACGTTGGCGCTTCCGGCGATGGTTAGGAAGACTTGATCTATAATATCATTAGTAATGACACGGAATGGGGGGGAAAGGGGGCAGGAACATACCAAGCGTAGTCTGCGAAACAGAATAGTATTCCAATCCCAAGGCCTCCTTAGACTCTTCCAGTGCCTTGAATACCCTATTGACACCAGTACCGGCGCGCCGCGAGGCTCCAGTGGGTGTAATATCACTCTCGTTTTCATCCTCCCCACGCCAGATTGGTATTGAGTAGCGAACCTGTCCATGAAAACTCCGCTGCTCAACAACAGCGCCACGGAACCTACGCAGGACCCAATCCTTCACATTGTGCATTTCCGCCTCTGTACTTGCGGGTGCAGACTTAAGGACAAGGTGGATGTAGTACCCGTCGCCCCAGCGCTTCCGGAGGTCATCGCTGGTTCCGACTGCAAGCATTTTCTTCGCGAGGATACCAGCACGTGAGGCAAGGGCATCAGCTTCCTCCATTGAATGGGTCGTCAGGACAAGACTTCTACCCTTTTGAATGCCGGCGAGGGTCTTCCACATGGTACGTTTCGCTGCTGCATCCATGCCCGAAGAAGGTTCATCGAGGAGGAGGACTGTTGGATTTCCCATAAGGGCAATGCCGAGGGAGAGCTTACGCTTGTTACCACCGGAGAGCTTCTCGCCCATGCGGGTTTGGAAAGCCTCGAGACCGACGGCGCGGATGACCTGGGAAACATTGTGCTCCACGTCCTTGACACCACGAATTTGGGCGTAGAAACGGAGGTGCTCGGCAACCGTCATACGGTCCATCGCATCGAATTGCGGGCAGACACCGAGGTGAGATCTTGCCTCCGCGCGACGTCTGGTAACAGGAATGTTTTCCACAAAGACTTCTCCACTGTCAGGAGCCATGTCACCACGAATCATGTTGATTGTCGTGGTTTTACCAGCACCATTGGGTCCGAGAAGGGCGAAAACCTCACCGCGAGCAACTCCGAAAGTAACGCTCTCTACAGCAACCAACTTGCGTGAGAAGGATTTGGTAATGCCGACTACACGAAGGCCATCGTTTGAGGAGGTCACTCTGGTGATTTCATCATTGATATGTTGCTTCTCGGCACCAGCTGCTCCAACGTCGGGTTCGCTATCGGAATTGACGGTGCTCACTCTTCTCCACGGCAGCGCAAGGCGGAAGCGACCGCTATCCCACCAGAGAAGAAGAAGGAAATAACAGATCGACTGCATAATGAGATAGAGAATTGGACCTCCATATAGAGTAATTTCTCCGGGGTTCGTGGCCCATTCCTCGCCGCGACAGGAGATAGAGAAGATATTCAGTGCCAGAAATAGAGCACGAGCCAAACTACCAATCGGCAGAGGCACTGAGAACGCAAAGTGAACAATATTGATTTGGTCATCCATCTCCGATGCAGGGGCGTAAGTGAGCACCGACGTGAAGGCGATAAAGTAGAGTAGGAACATCACGGCTAAACCAAGGATTAGTCACAATTATTTCGGAATCGAGGGCTCACACCATACCTTGAACACCAGCAACGATCGCGAAAGCGCTCAACTGACCCTTAGCCATGAGAGAGACGTTATAAGCCAGCAAGACTGACGCGAGCCCGTACAGCAAGAGTACAAGGAACAAGTATCCAATATGGAACCATACATCGTTCGTGCTCGCAACATAAATAATTGTGCAGATAACACTAATGATCAATACAGCGACAAAGTCAAACGCAGTATAAGCAAGCCACAACGGGAGGGCCCTGACACCATTAGAGTAATGCAAAGCACGAACATTGCGGATACGTTCGACGGTAGGGTAGAGTGCAAAGAAGGCCGGGAAAGCGGACAGAGCAAGTCCCATATAAACAACAAACTGCAATGTAAGGCCCTGTCCATCGGACCAAAAGAAGTCGAACTCGGCGTATCGCGTGACAATCCTCTGGCCAAGAAGAAGGTTATCCACCATATTCTGAGCGATGAGCGCATTCCTAACATTACGATTACCCTTGAAGGCAATTGTGGCATTTGTTGAAGGATCTCTCCCTCCTAGGTAGATTGCACCGGGGGTGACATTGTGATAGTTGATTTTAATGTTACGTTCGAAATCATCGAGGGAGTCCACAAAGTGCAACGAGTCGTTAAAGCTCCGCATCAGGGTCTCGTTTTGCGTGCCGCCAATATCCGCAGGAAGTATAGTGGAGGCCAGGGTTTCCAGAACCTGGGCCGGAAAGTTGCTCCGGGGCCCAAGTGTAACGTTGAATTTGGTGTTGAAAGTTAGCCGTTCCACATCGGCGGTGCTGGTCTGGTCTGCATTGGAGCACGAAGCCTTATCGTAGTCCTTCAAGAAGATCATGGTCAAGCCGGCAGCGAGAATGGGAATGGCGATAGCCGCGACAATCGGGAAATAGTTCCTTTTGAAGATGACGAGACGCTTTCGGAACATGACCCAAGTCTGTTTGAATATCCCAAGCCTCTCGCCGGCATAAAGATTAACATCCTCGGATTCTTTCTCTGCTGCCTCGGTGCTCGGCGATTGCCTGAGTTGCTGATCTTGAATATCCGCCGTCTCCTCGGCGACCTTGAGGAATACATCTTCGATGGTTGGCCCCGATACATGGTACTCATCGACTCCACGTGTTTCGAGCTTATCAACCAATTCGCCAGCCGATGTAGAATCAGGAATATTGTAAACGGTCTGATCATAAAGTCGCTTGGCTGAAACGCCCGAGACTTCGGGAAAATAACGCGGGACATGAACTCTATAACCGCCACCCATTTTGGCCTTTAATGCTACAGCAGATCCCTCACACTTGAGTGTACCTTTGGACAATATTGCGATATGGTCGGCCAGCAGGTCAGCCTCGTCCAAGAAGTGAGTGGTTAGGATGATGGTGCGTTCTCCTCTGGCGGCGAGGATGATATCCCAGATCTTACGTCGGCTAAGGGGGTCCAATCCACTTGAAACCTCATCAATGGCGCAGACATTGCTACCACCGGTAAACATGATTGCAAGTTGAAGTTTCCGCTTTTGTCCACCGGAGAGAGTGCTGGACTTGGCCTTTTTCTTTACCAATAGATCGCAGTCGCGGAGAAGCTGATGGAGAATTTCCTTGCTGTCTCCCTCACACTTTAGTTTGTTCCAGATCCCGACGTGCTCCTCAACCGTCAACTCATCCCAGAACACGTTCTTCTGGGGACAGACTCCTATACCGCCCTTTTTTCCCGTATTGATTCGGATTTCTCCTTCGTCGACAGTGGCCAGTCCGGCGATGGCCTCGAGGGTTGTCGTCTTTCCGGATCCATTAGCGCCGAGAAGGACAAGGACCTGTCCCTGGCGGATATCGAGATCAAGTTTGTTCACAGCTGTAACAGTCTCTTTCTTTCCAGCCGCAAGCAAGTTACCCAAAATACTCGGCTTATACCTCTTAGTAAAAGCTCGAATCTCGACAGCGTTTTCGGGGGCGATCAAAGCTGGATTAGAACTCCTGTGTCCAGGAGATTCGGTCCCGTAAAGCCATTTCTCAACGTAAGCAGCACCGATGGCGAACCCAATGATCTGAATAATGAGGAAAACAAACAAAACAATAGCTGGAATAGTCGAAGCTTGGTCAGGCGGGGACTTGGTGAGCGAAGCAGCTTGACCTTTCTTCTCGAAGCGACCAAGAATGACAGCCATCAGGACAAAGTTGGATGAAGGGCAAATCAAACTAAGAATGGCGATAGCGCCAGAAGAAGATCCGTGGCACACTTGGGCGCCAATGCCTAAAACAATGCTAATTAAGGTAGTAGATATTCCTGAGAGTTGTGTCCTCTTGAAGAACGAAGACGCAAAGATGGAGAACGAGGCGCAGGAGAGCCCAGTTAGAATGAACCAGACTAAAATGATACCAGCGTTCGTAGTAGCGAAGACTCCTCGAGCCATCGTAAGACCCATAACGACCCATCCGCCAGAGTACACCCAGGAGAATGAGAGAAAATAAGCCAAGATCCTCGCAGATTTGGAAACGCCCATGGACTCGAGAAGGGCGGATATTCCACGTTCGCGCTCCAGAGCTTGGAAACCAGTTTGATGGTATATTATACCCACATGGCCAAGGAAGACAGCGACACCAATATATTGGGTGATACCAGTCATGTAGCTACACCGTAAAATTAGAATTGCAAGGTTATAGGCCATGGTAGCGTCTTACTCTCTACGGATCTTATCCTCACGCTCCTTTTGTGACAAAGAGGTATACATGTATTCATCGACCACAACATCCCCACTTCCCTGACGAGCCCGGCCGGCAATAGCCCTATCGATAGCATACTGCAAGGGCATCAAGAACCTAAGACAATGTTAGCCCCTGAAAAACGAGAGAAGAAAAGATTCGTTAGTGGAGGGTAAATATCAATCATACGTCTGAACATCGTTGTCATGATCCTTAACATTGATTTTGTTACCATCTAAAGAACTATCACCCCTAAGTGTGTAATTCCAAACACCATTATCCGAGCTAGCAGGACTATCGTCGAAAACGGCGGCGGAAAAGCAAGGCGAACTCCCCCTTAAAGTCTGCTTGCACTCGATCCGCAAATCCTCATTCTTCTCCAATATAGCCACCTGTATGCCCGCCGCTATCAAGGGACTCGCAATCCCATCAATCAAGTCCCTCACCTCCGATCCAAGATTGTTGTGAACAAAAGCCAATTTCTTATCCGAGTGTGCAAGTAACTCCCTCTGGAGATCCTTGACATGTGCTGGTGTGCCGACACCATAGGTTGCCGGTGGAACAAACAAGTTCCTCGCATACGAGATGAAACCAATGAAAAAGATGGGCAACACGACAGAACGAAAGATTGTGGCGAGTGGATGTCGCAGAAGTACTATGCGGACATTCTTCTTCCACAACGCCCAGGTCTGACGACCCAAATTCCCCATTGTAAGGAAGGAAGGAAGTTTTGTCGAGGAGAGTGACGATCAATGATGGGGCCTAAAAAGGCTAGCTACGGTAATAATATTATGGTTGGATTTAGTTGGGGATCGGTGTTTTAAAGTAGCAGCCGGGTATTGGAGAGGTGGGGAGAAATAGAGTAAGAAGGGAAGGGCGAGAAATTATGGGCACGGGGGCAGTAGGGTGGGAGGGATAGATGATAATAATATTATGATAGTACTTTAAGTGCTCGCACCGTGCTCAAGTGTTTTGCGGGGCGTGGGGTGGTACCTTAGGGCAATAATGGAGCTTAGAATTGACTGGGTACTCGCTGGGGTGCCCCGCCCGTATTGGGTGGTGATGTATGACACTATGGTAGCACAGGTAGAAGGGAAGGATGCGAACTGAAATAGCGGGAGACGGTAAAAATAAGCGTCAACGAGATGTGGTTCCAGCGGAGGAGCTTGCTTCCCTTTCGGAAGGGTTCCGAAGATTGAAGCGACAAAGGGGGATTATATGAGCCCCGGGATAGTATTGTACTAATATTCCAGTACCGTAAAGGGTTGTTGGTACAAGTAAGAGAACTGGATTGAGAGTTGGAATAGTTGTGCTTCCAAACGGCCGCCTTGCGAGATGCTGATATATAGCACTTGAGTAGGTGTCCCCTCTGTCCACCTCTTGCAGACTTCCCGACGATTGGCCGCAATATGTGCGGTGGGGCGATGCCCGTCTCGTATTCCCCCCCCCCCTCTAGAGGGAGGATGTTCGAAGGGGGAGGGCGAATGGCGTAGAGGCGTTTCAGGCACAGGCCTATTATCGTGCAATGTGCTCGTACAGTACCGGTACCCAAATTGACTGGTAGCCCGGTTAGAAGACTGCGAGAGGAATAACGGTATGAGCAAGGGTAACTCTGTCGTAACGGTATTCTTGAAAGTGATCTTTTGCTATCGCCCCCCTTCCGTTCTCTTCTTGGTTGTGACAAGTACCGGTACTGCCGCCGCGTGATAGGCTTACCGTAGATTACATGTACGGGGATGGTATCATATGTCTAGGTCGCTTGGAGCCACAGGGGGCGCGATGAGCCGCTGGCTATAAAAAATCAACGTGTTGGGTGTCTTGGGCACCATCGAGGATTGACTCGCTGCCCATAAGACACCCGAGTGGACCGGTAACAGATTATCCAAGAAATGCCACAGCCGCAGATGGCTGGACTTTTTTTTTTTTTTTTTTTTTTTCCTGCCCAGTTCTGGCACAATGATCCCTCTCTACCCCTGGTCACACTACCGGTACTGTATGCACAAAGAGCCCAGCGAACAATATCAACTCGCAGCCGAGGATGTTGGTCACAACAAAGTTTTTAAGCTGTTCTGTGTTACTCGCACGGGGGCTGTGTAGGAGGGCACCGGTACTCTACCACTAACTTTATCAGTAAAAAAACCCCATTCGGGCAACCGAGACGCTTGACATTTTGCCCAGGACCATTCGAGTGGGTAAAGAAGAAGAAAATAGTGAGGAAGCACCGACTTGGTTATCATACAGGTACTGCCCCGTGGGTGACGCGTCCATGCCCTTTCCATATTTTCTGAGGATCATGAATCTCACCAAAGAATTAGACTACGGTAGGGCTCACCATTGTCCAAGGCACTCATCAAGTTAGTTGGGACAAGTGCTTCTCTTGGCGACCGTCTAGTTAAACCTCGAGCGCCCAACCTGCAGCATTCGAGTGGGCTATGGTATTACAGTACGAGCACCGAGAGGTCAACGTTGATTCAGCCTCAATTACCAGTATCAACACATTCTCGCTTAACTACGGATCCCCTTCCGTTTGAATTTCCTACATCAAATCGTGGCTTCTTCGATCGGCCATGCTCCGCGAGACAGCGAGTGATGCGATGCGAGCGGCCGATCGCTTGGATACGGTATCTACTCGAGTATAGTACTCGAGTAAAACACGGCGCACCGGCACGGTGCAATACAAGTACTGTACTGTACCAAAAGATGCGGTACGGTTGGGGAACCCTATTGTTGGAGGGCTATTGAGAGAGCCGAAAGAGAATGTTAGATGGCGGGACTCCCTCCGAACCTTGAAATCAGACCCGGGAAATCATTCGCCCGCCCCACACTTGTGTTACATGTCCCATTCAGGATAGGCTCCAACCATTCATTGGTGAAACCTTACATCAAGCACTTCTTGGCGATCTTTAGCTGGTACTATTTTGGGTTCCCCATCCGAATCAGGAGTTCACCACTGCTGACCACTTCTATCGTCGAACGTACGAGTACGAGTACGAGTACAGTACCAAGGCGGTATCCCGAAGTCTCCCGCGGCGGTCCGATCAACGTGGGCCAGAGTACCGGTAGTCAAGTCGAGCCGAGCCATATTACCGTGAGAATTGGAATAATTAGATCTCACGCTAGGACGTTGGAGTTGCATCTCCTAGTATTGTCCAGTACAAGAGAGGTCTACTGTATTCCTCTTACTTTTCTTAGAGGGCTGAAGGTCGGTCCTTTTTTTCACCGTGAGGCGGAATTCTGGGCCTCCTATCGTGGGGTTCAATTATCCCAGTTTTCATGCTATTTCGTTTTTCCGTTTCCCCGTTTCAGAATCTTCGCTGCAAGACATAGATTTCACTTCTTATGCTGCACATGTGACCGTGAAAGTATTTCCGGACATTCTGTCCTCGCTCTTACGTTCAGCCTTTCGCCCGGAGCGAAATGACTCAAAGTGCAAAGGCCTTTCCATATTGCCGGGGTTGCCCAATCGTTCCTCAATTGATACGTGTCAGAATTCCCGGTATAGTCGATGGGCAGGTGGTGTAGAAGGACGAGGCCCCCAACATTCGAGTGATATTCCCGCCACCTAAGCGGATTAGCGACCCAAGTCTGATAAGGCTCTGTCTGGAAAATGAATTCGGCTCAACGCGCGTCCGGTGCTGTACCAAGCAGCCTCGTACTACATGGCTGTGTTCGTATCTCGGCGCAGCTCCCGAAGCCACGAGTGAGATGCCATGACGTCTACTACAAATGATCCGGAGTGCGAGACTCCATCCTGTGGCTTAAACAAGGAGCCTCGGTGAACCGACGTTGAAAGATATTTTGTGCAATCAATATCTGCCTCGCGGCATGTTTATTTCCTGGAGTTCGTAGGGCATCTTCGAGGACACACTACCCGCCCTATGGTAATAGGAATGTAACAACGATCATGGGTTTAATGCTGCACGAAGAACGGAGCACGGGGACGAAGAGCTATGCGTTGTAAGTTTGAGTAACCAACTGGAACTTGAAATCGTGTGCGTCAAGAGATCACCGTGTCTTCATTCAACCTGCTCTTTCTCCCCAGATGGCATGTATGTTTGGTGGATGTCAGTCAAGGATGAAAGGCAAACGACCAAGCATTACGAATAACCGCCCACCGGTAGCTAAAGCGCATATCTATGAGCTTCGGGGCGCTGTCCAATATCAGTTTCCCCACTTGCATCTAGCTGTTGGCTCGATCTACTACACCGATATCATGCTTTAGCATGATATAAGCTCCCTGCTCTAACAAGCGAATTGCGGACCAAATTAATACGAGACCCCTTAATATGATGAGTTGGTCTAGTTACCTTGATATGGAACCAGACTGAGCGTCACACTAGACATATCACAGATAACTCGCACAGAAATACCTCGCCAACAGTTAGCCAAACACTTTCGGGGGAGGGGCGCCTAGGAATAAAATAGTTGGGGTCCCGGCCGTTTCTCATGGAGGCCATTATATTGCAGGTGACAGAGAAAAGCTTTCTCACCACTTCCATTTCTGTAAACCCCCCCCACTCGCCGGTTTACACTCGAGCCAAAGTGTGTGTGTGTGGATGCCGAAAAAAACAGTCCGGGAAAGATGTGCCGGTGACCGAAATCGGCCATGTTTGAATATCTCCTGATGGTTCATGAAGTGCGCAGATCGAGCGTTAAGGGGTCCGCGAGTAAAAAAGATTGGATTACCATTTTCTTTTAGTCTTCCCTTGCCTCTATGCCATCGTTTGTTTGACCACCCCCTATCGTTGTATTTTCTTTAGTTGTCCCTCTCTCCTTTGAGCTTGCTCCCCTAGAAGTGCCCACCTCTGGGAAGGTCTCACGGAAGAGAGCAGAGTTCAACCATAGATACGCTGCCACATTACTTCACTCCTTTTCGGGAGACCATCAGCCTTACCCCCTTCATTATCATACATTCACTTCTGGGCATCTACTCACCAAATGATCTGGCCGCGGAAGCAATGCAACATCCTACAACTCTACGTCCTCCATGCGATCGTACAATGTCCCCACTTATACAACATTCGTTCTTGCTAACCTCCATGCTTCAGGGGAGCCCTTGTGAATTCCACTTTACAATGCTCTAGAAGACATAATACAGGCACAGATTTTACAGCTCCTCTACCGGGATAGACCTTCAACACAAGAAAGGGTTTGGGACCGCATTCTTCTTCATGTTGATGAGAAATTTCTCTCATGGAACGGCGTCTTCGAGAAGGGCACTCTAGGAACTGAGTTCCAACCCAGTATACCAAGGTTTTTTCCGTTACCGAAATTTCTCATATCTCGAGCCCGCTTTTACTCTCGCCCATTGCGCGAACAACAATAAAAAGACTTACATGACCAAAGCCTCCAGGAGTAACTCCTTAGCTGGGCACCCATTTCAACTTTTCGTATGGTCTGAAGGAGTCAGAGAGACTGCAATACAAACTCTTTAGGATAGGAGGCTACAAGGAGTGAGGCCAGCTTAGAATCGTGTAAGATGCTAAGAGTTGATACAGGGTGCCTGCATTATAGATCCTCGAGCAAAATTCTGACTCCTACGTGCTAGTTCTAATCCTACGACCCATACTACTACCACTGAGAAGCCTGGCAAGGGGTATGTGTGATCCGGGAAAGTTGGACGAAAAAGACGCATATGCTATCATATGTGTCCCAGGTGTTTTCTGGAAGTGGGTGGAAAAAGGTTCTGAGGCATGGTTTTCCTACTCTAGATAGCTTCCGTCGGACTTCGCACACAAAGGACCCGCAGACTCCTGAGCACAAAGAAAAACTCTTGATTACTCCAGCATCTCGTAGTAGATATTATTTATAGACTCCGAGTCCTTTCTAGGTGATATAGCTCCTTGCTCCTAAATTCGACGATAGAACAATCAATAATCAAGTACTTTCCGAGTGAAGACTAGTCGTGTTTTACGCCACATTGTTCCCACGGTAACATACGGTACACCTGACGGACTCGACTAAAGTTAGTACGGTTCCCAGGCAAACCACGCTTTATAATGTTAATAGTCTCAATATTTTGGTTAGTGTTTGACCCATCCAGAATCCCGGTCGGCGCGGACCACCTCCGATGTTATCGAGCCGTAACCATTCAAGTTATAAACAGCCTCGAGAAATCACCTTATTGTTTGAAAGTGGGAGAGAGGAGAATTGATTCTATTTCCTAGAGCCCTGGCTGGGCAAACAATATCCCGGTTAATTGCACCTAGCCCCAGAAAGGTTCTTGGTGACCTTTCCAACATTTAAACTTTGATTTGGCGGCTC